CCTATAAAAATAAGTATTTTGATTAATACTTTTTAAACTAATTAAATATTTTAATGAAGTAAAAATTACGTCCTAATCTAAACAATGAAGCAAAACTCCAACCCTCAAAGTAATTCGATAGAAAATACCCATTTCTCATTGCTAGAAAACTCTCTCTAGAGACCATTTCACCATCTCCAAGAAAACTCAACTTCAAATCTCCATTTTGACCATTTTTCTATCGATTTTGCATATGTACCTTCGTCTCCGTTCATCTTCTCCTTCTAATTTGGTAGAGATCTTAAACATCTATCCTTTTAATAGTCTAAACCCTAACTTGTTCCCATCAAAATCCAGAAATGTGAATCTGATTCCACCTTATTCACTCCAATGTCGACTTTGATAACTAACTCCGACTCCTATTTCTGCATTGGCTGGAAAAAGTAGATTGAAGATGAAAAAAATATTGATGAAGAACTATCTTTAAAGGAGAAGAAATCTTATAAAATCAAGGTAGCATTAATTTCTCCAATTTCCCCTCGTGTTTATGTTTTATTTTTTGTTCCTTTATGGTTTAGATATTTCTTATGTGACTTCTGGTTTTGTTCATTGCCTTTTGTTTTGTGTAAATTGAAATATGTATACAAACTAGTCGGTGAGAAGCACTATTTTATAGGCATTTTCTTGATTTTTTTTAAGGATAAATGGGGGATTTTATTGAAGAGTTCAAACATGGTTTTGAGTTTATGGGATTGTTGAGATTAGATAGGGCATGGAGGGACAGTGGGAGGCAATACAAGATTGGGTTAGGCTGGAGGCTGTCATGTAGTCACTAGGAATGGGAAATGATACAGTTTTTCAATAATTAAAGTAGCAGAAGACTTTATTTAAGAGTACTTGTTTTGGTGCCTTCATTGATTTGAAGGAAATAGTGTTGCAGCCAATATTAATACACTAGTTGGAACTTAGACAAGTTAAGTAGCCTAATTCAAATGAAATCTGGTACAACATCCATAACGAACTTGCCACTTTTGATTACATTAGCTGGTTTAGATTACATATATCGTTTTTTCATTCCCATAGTGCTCGTCTCAGTGATTATAAATGGAATATAGTTGGGAAATCATTTGGAGTTGAGGGCCCATCAGGGATATGATATTTTTTGTTTCCTTCGAAAGGATAACTTTAGTGGCTATTGTAGTTGGTAATTTATTTAATTGGATAAAACAAATAGCAGTAACCTAGCCCCCAACATAGCTTTTGTTGCTCGTGGAATGGAAATATTTTACCCTGCTTTGCATGTTTAAGCACATCAAAGTCTTTGAAGATGAATTGTTAATAGGGAACTGGCTATTTGTTCCCTCTTTTTTTATATATAACAGATATACCTAATACATTTATAAAATCATAGGTGAAACATATCAACAAACTGACATAGACTCTTTTGAAGCCAGCAAAAGATACTTTAAGGTATGATGGTTCAAAAACTTCACTGGAAGTTCTAGTTGGCAATCACCCATATGTTGCTAATGTTGGAGATTCTCGAACTATAATATCAAAGGTGCAGGAATTTGGAAGAAGCCAAGTCTTCAGTCCATTAGGGAGCCTTGTTGTACTGAAAATGTTTGGAGCTATGTCATACAAATGTTCAGTAGGATTGAGCTAGCTGTGATTGGCAACATTCTTCTTGTAAGAGGCTTGACTTCTTTGACTTGTGTAACTGTACAAACTGTCCATGGGGTGGGACTTGCATTGTCACCTAGAATTCATGCTTTATCTAGGCACCTGACTCAAGTCATATCCATTTGCAAATGAAACATAGTTTAATTAAAAATTAATCATAATCAGCTTAATATTATGAACTGTTTATTTCAAATTTTTTTTGAAGCGTTCCTCGCTTTTTGGAGTTTTTGTCACTTTTTTGAATTTTTGTTTTCCAAATTCAAGTTAATATGTTGGTTAATAGAAGAAAAAGATATTTACAGAAAGGCAACATATAAGAGAAAATCAACCATCCATTAGATCAATTCTAATGTTTTGATTTATTTGTCACTTTTTTGAGTTTTTGTTACTTTTTTAATTTCTACCACTTTATCGAATTGCTTCCATATTTAATACCACAGGAAGAGAGATGGGCAGAGATGACGATTATGATATAGACAATGATTGAGCGTTAAAAGAAGGCATATGTGATATGTTGATGGAGAAGGAGATGAAGACGTATTTGTTGAGACAAAGATAACCTATAAATTGCATTGAAAATGTCAAATAATAAATTATTTTTGTAGGATGAACAAGCTCTGAAAAAGAGTGATGGTGTTTAAACCTTTTTTTTTTAATTTGCATTTTTTTGACACTTTCATTAAAGAGTAACATAGCATCTTGTTCTACTTTTTTATTAAAATGTCACATACAATTAGTTTCTAATTAAACAATACATCTTTGATGAAACTTTTAATTTGTTTATAAGAATTTCCTTTAGATGTTAATTTCTACCATTTTTTGAGTGACAAATATCAATTTTTTTTTAATAAAAGTGACATTGTATGTCATTTTTTTTAATAAAAAAGTGACATTGAGTGTTTGTTAAGTTTTATTTTATTTTTTGTCACTTTTTTAATTTTTTTTTCACTTTTTTGAGTTTGTCATTTTTTTTTTTAAATTTTGTTACTTTTTGAGTGTTTGTCACTTTTTAGTATGTGTAATTTTTTTTGTCACTTTCTTGAATTTATCATTTCTTTTAGATTTCGGCCACTTTTTTTTTTTTTTTTATAGTATTTATCACTTTATTAATGTTTCACTTTTTTCAGTTAACTTCTTGATTTCTATCACTTTTTTTAGTGACAAGCATCACTTTTTAATAAAGGTGACAGTTAACTTTTAAAAAGTGACATTGTGTCGCTTTTTTCAATAGTGCGTCGCTTTTACAGTGATGAGTGTTTATGAAATTTTTTGACATTTACATCTTAATTTAGTCATCAATTTTCATTAGTTGTGAGCTTATTGGAAACTTGGATGTATTTAAAATTTTGGATTATGATTATATTGTTCAAGTTGTTAGTACAAAAATTTTTAATTTGTTCATCACTTGTGAACTTATTGGATAATTTGGCTATATTGAAAATCATGGGTTATGATTTGTCATTCTTTTATTTCTAGTCACTTTTTTTGAATTTGTGTCATTTTTTTAATTTTTTTTTTAAATTATGTCACTTTCTTAATTTGCGTAACTTTTGCTAACTTGTGTCATTTTTTTGAATTCGTCACTTTTTTTTTTAGTAAAACTTTTGTAATGTGAGATGGTAACCGGTGTAAAATTATATGAAATGTCAGGCAAACAAAATGGATGGTGTTATTTTTGGTGTTTGTCATTTTTCTGAGTTTGTACCATTTTTTTTATTTTTTTTAATTTTTTTTGAGTTCGTTTCACTTTTAAATTTACACAGTATTTTTTTACTTCCAATTTTCCTTTTTTCTAAAATAGATTTTGTCATTTTTTTTTTTGAGTTTTGTCACTTTTTTTAATATTTGTTACTTATCTTCTTAAAAATGTGATATGATATGTGATATTTTTTTAACATAATCAGCATGTGAATTGTCTTGGGCATGCTGATTATGTTAAGAATCGTCACTATGTTTATGTGGATTGTTCTGAACAAGTTAATTATGTTAAGAACATGATTACTGATGTTGCACAAATGAATGGTGTTATTTTGATATTTGTGATTTTTTTAAAGAATTTTGTCACTTTTGGAGTGTTTGTATCACTTTTTTTTTTTGAATTTTGTCACTTTTTTTGAGTTTGTGTCACTTTTTTTTGAACTATGTTAAAAAAAGTGACAATTTCTATCAAAAAGTGACAATGTCACTTTTTAATTTACACAATATTTTTTACTTCCAATTTATTTATTTTTATATGATTTTTCATAACACCTCTAATTTTAAGGGTAATTTTGTAAGTTGCCCTATGCTTTATTGGCCCATGGGAGACTAAAATAACCTACAATGTAGTGGTTATTCAATAGTTTTACGAATATATACTAACAGTTGAGTCGCATTCGACTTGAAGCTTTCTTTAGTCTCATCTCATCAATAGACTTAGAATGACTGGTGAACACAATTTGTATTCAACATTATAGGGCTATATAGAATTATTATAAAATAAAATGGTTAATTTCAACTCACTAAAATACTAAAAACTAAATCTTCGAAATAATAGAAGAGAATATATTAATGTTAAGCTAATGAGAAATATAGCTGCCTCTTGATTACACATTTCCATTTGGAAAAAAGGCAACATGGTCATAAGCAAAAGCCAAATAACTAAATACTACAAATAAAATAGAAGTAATTAATAATAATAATAATAATAATAATAATAATAATAATAATAATAATAATAATAATAAATTTAAAAATGATGATGAACCGACAAGATGCACCATGGCTAATTCCTGAACCAATGAAACATCATAGAAGGTTCACACCGACTGGTATTAACGTGTCGTCCTTCGTAGGTGCCGCTCATCACACGATCTAATAATGATCAAGACTCGGCGTAGGTCCACGACTGTACGGTACTAATATTTGATCAGTTTAATATTCGTAACATAATGAACTAAATTATCCTCCTAAAAAATATTTGACAAACTAACTCGTAGGATATGATATCTCATAAATTTTCAAATACTTGTTGTAGAAGAGCTAGACGAAATAAAATGTTAACTTTAACTAGTTGTAGACTATCGTGGCCCTAAAAATTCTCTCTTCTCTATGATTAAATACGTGTTAAATTTGCCTAGCGTTTCGTATAAAACCTTCAGTGATCTCACAATCACACTATCTCATTCAGTGTTTCCTTGTTTGAAATTTAGGAAATTACTCATTCTGCTACAATCATTGTTGTGACAATAAAAGACATCATAAAATAATAATCACCCTCAATTTGCATATAAATTCAATTAGTTTACAGATTTAAGTTACTTATAATTTTAAAATACCATTTTTTCCACCAAAAATTATACATAGGAAAAGAAAGTTTCTTCGATAAATAAATTATGGAGCAATGAGCTTAGACAATACATTGACACATGCAAAAAACTTAAAAAGCAACGCTCCAACATCAGATGAATTCTCAAAGCCAAAGGACAAAAACGGAAGAAGCAAAAGCAATCCTATATTCTCTATTCTTGAGTCCATTGAAGTAACGGCAAGGCAAACCTATTTGCTCCCAATAGATTTCGCAGCCGCATCACTACACAAGAAGATAAATACTATTACCACAATATAATAAACACATCACATTATGATTTTAATAATGCAAGATAAACTATTTCCTCTGCACTGTAACCATGTAGAGACCATTGTCAAAATCAAGTTACGACTATCTCGTCTAAAAATCAGTTGGTTTCCAATGAGGTTAGACTAAACCTTTCATGGCATGGAATCGCAGTCATATGAGACCAACCCATGGACCTAAGAACTACATTGTTGCTCACCAACAATATCTCCCTCAACATGGCACTCTTGTGACTCGAATCCATAACCCTTAATTTTGACGTTACTTGTTAGACTAATTTTATCTATATCATCTAAAAACCAATTGGTTTCCAATTATGCAAGACTAAACCTTTTTGTCATTCAACACCATCAGTTGAGACACCTAACCCATTAGCATAAGAACAACCTTGTCACTGCATAACAACAATAACAAGACAATTCGAATAATTCCCTGCCTAGAGGTTCTGCATCGACAGCATCTGTATGGTGCATTTTTCATGTTTATTATGCCAAAACCCAATGAAAATCCACAAAGTATCAATCCGTATGAATTTTGTCAAACTTTTGTACAAGAAATTGTTTACAGGTGCTATGCGGGCAACAATTGTATGGTCTCTCTCTATCTCTCTCTTTCCCTTTCTCTCTCTCTCTCTCTCTTTTTTTTTTGCAACATCCAATCAAATGTCGTCCATAAAAAATCCTATTATTGAGCCCATACAAGTAGCACGGTTCAAAACAACAAGCCATATGATGTCATACCTTTTGTTGAGCTTCTGATTTATACTTGACTTGAAGCCTTCAACAAAGCAAGAGTCTGTTACAGAAGCATGAACTTATCAATTTATTATACTGAGTATGAAGAGGAGAAAGAAATTGCTCTACAATCTCCAATACTACACGAAACAAAACAAATCCGACTCTAGAATTTACCTCAGTCTCGCCTATAGTTTCTTCCTGCTCTGCAATATCATTGAGAGGTACATTTAGTTCTTTTAGGAAGCTAATACTTGATGACGGAGATGATAGTGGTGTCACTACCAATTTATCTGACACTACGAACCAGTATCGTGCCTCCATAAATCTACCAAAGCAATCAACACTCCCAGTTGGGCCCCTTGGGTCAAGAAGGTTTAATATGTTTATAGCATCACGAATTTGCAATGGATTATTTTTGCACTTGTATTGTTTCAGAACTCCGACATTTATTAGTTCATTCTTGGGAATAGCAAGCAACTCCGAGTCCAAATTCTCTACTGTTCTGTACAAATTATCAACACATCCTACCCCAGAGTTCAAGTCCAAAAGCTTTACCACTGATCCAAGCGGAATCGTAAAAAAGCTGAAGAGAAAATCGATAAAATCTTCCCTTACTAACAAACCCAATATCTTGTTTTGCGACTTGCTTAACATTAACTTAACCGGGAATTCAGTATGATTTGGCGATGTTAGATTTTCACTGCTTGGTGTAGGTGAATTTCTTAGATCCATGGTATCGAATTATTTGCAAGTTTCCTTTTCCCCAAGAATACATCTGTCAAAGGAGTCTTTGATACCAAAGAATGCTTGAGCAACTTAGAAACCTTAAAGAACACAGCGAAAGAAAGACCATTCACATAAGAAGAGAACCAGACACAAGCTCAAAGATGTGTTCAAACAATATGATGAACATGAAAGTTAAACAAACAACTTCCATATACGTCATAACACATATATCTACCACACATATACACTTGCAAAAAGTTTAAAAACAAAATGAGCTGTGTTATGACAAAAATATAGAAAGAAAGATTATTTTTTGTTAATAGATTAGATTACCTCCTCTAATCCAACATCAACAGACAATTCCTCAACTTGATCAACATCGCTTAAACCCAAATTACATAGCAACTGCGCCAGAGAATTTGGATTTCCAAGTAGCACCTGCAGATCATCTGAAATCACATACATGATCATTCTGTTGGAAAAATTGGCCGAGTTTGGCACGAGTTTTGAGTGGGACCCGGTTGTTCAATTTGGAAGATGAAAGTTGATTTGTGTTCTCCTCCGTGAGTATATCGAAATCATATACTTACTTGTCAAAGTTGATGCTCGGGTGAATGAGAAATTGAGGCTCAAAATGTGCAACTCAAAAGGGAGTTTATGTGGGAAAAATGAATTTGTCCCACATAGGAAAAAGATGAGGAACTCCAAAGGTCATTGCTATTAATGGTAGCCTAGCCTATAAATAGTGGCTCATTTTCCTCATTTCAACACACAAAAAAGCAAAAGCTCTCAAGTTTAGAATACACTAGAAATTCATTTGCATGGAGTTCTCTCTTGGTGGTGGTGTAGTTCAGGCACTAGTTCAGTTCGCCGGAGTTGTTTCTGCGGTGCTCGGAAGCTACTGGTTTTACCGTTGTATCCTGGGAAACGGACGCTCGTTTTAAACCTCAAGCACGAACGGTGAGGGGGCGAATCTGTTTTAAGGAAACTGTGTGTAACACAGGCTTCGGGTTAAAATTCTATGTTTCAGTTGTTTAATTCATGCAATTTTCGTATTAAATTTATAGTCCATGCTTCATGAATTTATGATATATTGTTCGTATGCTTCATGAATTTTAAATTCTATTGGAACAAAAGTTATTTGTTGGAAATAAAACTTTCAATGATCTGGTGAAAATTCGATATACGGTTGTTTGAATTTTGTTGATTTGCATAGTTGCAAAATTGAAAGACTTTGTCAAAAAGACTTAAACTGTCTAAGAAGAATTTGAGATTTAAGCGGTCCGGTTGTGACCCCCTCCTCATCTGGGAGTCTTTTAATTGCGCACTAATCAAATTGGCGACCCGAAAGATAACATTTCCTGGTTTTATCCACATACACTGAATTTCCTACACATTCTTCCAACAAAATGTTCTGGATCGAAGGGTTGAGACCCCTCAGATATCTCTATGTTGGCTATGCGTCCACAAAGTGCAAGGATAATGACTCTTCCTACCGCAATAATTATAATTAAAAGAAAAGCATATCCCATTGCTCGTGTCATCAATATTCAGTTTAAGATTCTTGCAAACAAGAGCACGAAGGTTTCTTGGGCTTAACAGTATTGATTTACATGTCTCTGTGCAGAAATTGTCCACGCTAAGCTGTTCAATGCTTTGATACAAGTTGTTCATGCAGCCAATGGAGCCGGGATGGCTTTTCATGACACAAACAACAGTTCCCAGTGGAAGTGTGAGAAAACTGAGCAAAACATTGACGAAATCACTAGGGGCTTCCGCGGCGAGGAGTCGGGTATGCTTCTCGTCTACCAGAAGTTTTATAGGGATTTTGGGCTCGATGTTTATCGGTCGACATAATATGAAGATGTAAAAGACTGAACTTAATCAAGGTAAGAGAGATAACAGTTTTGACTCTCGAAATAACTATGTTGCTGCTCCAAAAATGATTCATTCAGAGATATTTATAGCCATTTTGGAAGAATACAAATTAACTTGATTTCCTTTGGTATTAGGCAATGTGGAATCTGTAAAGACTATCAATAATGATGCACATTTCTTCTGGGAGAAATCTCTAAAATTAACTAGATTTCCTTGGGTATTAAGCAAAGATTTCCTTACGGCCTGCTTGGGAGTTTCGGCATACCGGTTATTTTTTTAAACTATTGATTTTGAACGTTTATGAGCAGATCGATTTTCAATGGTTTAGTTGCGATTTTTAAAATTGTCCAACATATGCTTGAGAGTTTATCCTCCATTTGTTCTAAAAGTTTTAAAAAAAATAATATTACATATATATCCCTTTGTAAAATTTTCAATATATAATTTCTTATATGATTTTTAGTCATAAGTAATATTTTATTTATAGATAATTTTTACATATAGGTTAATGTAAAACTTAAAAATTAAATTACATTAAATTACGTTATATCTTTTTCTTTCTATTTTCAATCACACAATCTTTCATAAAATAAAATTACTCGTAAATCGAAAAGTTTTACTTTTTTTTTTTCAACCTTTCATTTTTCAAAAAAATACTATTTCACTCACTTTCATTTTTAGAAAATGGGGGCCAAACGGGGGCTAAGCCCTTGTCCGTTTCCAATTATTTGAATGCAATAATATATTTTTTTTTTTATCCTTTTTTCTTCTCGTACGTGGGTTTTATTGTGAGATAGAAAGTTAAAAAATTCGGCTGCTCCAATTTGAATTGATTCAAAATTCCGACATCAATGAACGGTTGCATGTGAAAATCGAAAACTCTACTTTACTTTTACCCTTTTTGCCCAGTGCTTTCCACCACTCGTTAATGTCTCTTGACCTTTCTCACCCAATTGGACCAGCACCCATTTCCATGATTCCATCAATTAATTCAATTGGGCCCCACTACATATAAGTAATATTTTACATATTAGTATTTCTTAATTATAATTTAAATTTTTTGCTTATAAATAATTTTTTAGTTAATATATTTTTATTTATAAGTTAGTTTTGAAGAAAATATATTGGTTGAAAATAATTATTTTAAAAATGGTAAAATTAGAAGAGAATATGAAAATTGGTAAAAACCTGCCTATATGATGGGTTGAGAGAATAGGTTAAAAGTACACTACATTGATTCTAGGCAATCTTTAAACCACTCAAAGTCGATGAAAAAACTAGCAAGTATCGATTTTTCAACACCTTATAAACGATACCATCCAAAATCGATGAAATAACTATCCCAAGCCTGCCTTAGTTATTAAGCAAAATTAATTAATAAAATAATAGAAAAATATGAATTATCTCGAATGCTTCCACCACCATAATAAGCTCCCATTTGACCTCCTTTATCTAAAAGTTTATTTTTCTTCAAACTCATTTTCAACCAAACATTTATTCAATAAAATAATTTACATATAAATTCAAACTTTTTTTTTCTACGTTTTAACCACACAATCTCCAAAAACTCAATATTACAACTCATTTTTATTTATTGTTAAAATGTTTTCTCTTTTATTGTATAGCAGTCAGAGTTGAATGTGCATTGCACGTTATTCTGAAATACTTTATAAGTGCTGTAAGAATAATATTTAATACCAATTTGTTGGGAAGATTTGATGAGTCTCCAATGAACTAAACATAAATAAATTAGGATACAAGTTTAAGAGAAGAAATTTGTACACTAAAAACTCAACCACGATTCAATTTTTTTGTGATGGTCAAATACTACATATGAGCAACCTTTATACTATTTTGTACATAAAAATTAATTGCTAATACATAAATTTAAACACTTATTAAAATTTCTAGATACATGATAGAAATAAATTCATATATAATAACTCTAGATTCATACGTTCATGAATTCAAGATTTATTGAGTCTAGATTAATGTGAATATTAATTAATTGAGAAAAATGATATGAAATTCATACACGACAACGATTTTGTAGTATTTTATTACATATTGAAAAATGAAATTTAGGTATTATTGGAATGATTGAATTGTAGTAGGGTCAAAATCGTCCAAAAATAATTTTCACTTGATGTGATATTTAATAAATGGATAATTATGTTCACATCATATTTTTTATCTTTTACGCCACCTTTTAATTGAACTTTGTTCCCTCTTAATTTTACTTAAGGTTCTTAATCTTTGCTCATTAAAACACTTATATCCCTAATGATTCTCTTTTATTCTTATCCTTAAACTCTCCATTAGTTAACGTATTTTGTATTTATAGTAGTTTTATGTGCAAAGTCCGTTGAAAAAATGAAGTAAAAAACTTATTTTTTCATCATATTTTTAAAAAAGAATAAATACGAAATACGAAAAAATATTTTTTCCTCATTTCGAAAATATCATTATCAAGGATGTGACGTACTAATTAATGAAATGTTGAAAATAGGAATTTGACGGAAAAAAAGGTTAATAAAATAATTACTACAATGAGTGCAGATTGAGGAGCTCAATTGCAATTAACATGTGGTATATCGAATAATAATTGTGGTGACAATATAACTACCGTTAATATATTGTAGAAATTATATTAATTGTAAGGAAATTTTGCAGTAGAGCTCCCAAACCTTTCAAAAATATGCAGCGTGATTTCATATTATTTAAATCTAGATAGCTATGAAATTTTCAAGAAGTGTGCGTCATAAGGATACTTGGACGGTTTCACATGTTGGTTGATCAGAAGTTAAAGACTCTTTTAACCTACTTTCAACTGAAGGCAAAAATGCCTCTTCACTTTTTCTAATTTAGAAAACACAAATTTCAGCCGAGTACCTCTATGTGTATACTTCCAAATGGAGAACGAAAAAGTTTCTTCATCTCTCTTCGATAATGGAGTCCCCAATAACCTTAAATATAATGAAACTGTGATATAAATGGCTTGCCATCTCATGGGAGACTCCCCAGAGCCCATATATCGTGTGTATTCGATTGTTTTTGTCTTTCTTTTTGCACTTATTTTTTGTAAATATATATCTTTTGAGCAATGCTATAGGTAGAAAAATTTTTGACAGAAAAATCTTACAGACAACACATGGTGCAACATCATTTGAAGATGGGAAAAAAAGTGGTCTAATCATGTTTTGCCACATCAGTGTTGATAGAAGTTCTCATGGCTTTATTCATATCTTTTTCCCTTGTATTATAATATGCTAGCAGCCTAGGATTTCTCCATATACACGGGTTTTGAAGTTCAAAATCTTATTTTATTAAAAAAAACTCTCCCAACATGCTCTCACACTTGACTTTTTATGGCTACTAATTCTGAACTTCAATTCATAACATGAATGACATCCAAAATCATTTAATTTGGATACTCTATTAGTTTTGTTGTCCATTTCTCTTCCCAACCAAACAAGAGGATTTGTTTCATCAGACGATGATTCATCATAAAAAGAGTTGGAACCAGAAGGCATGTGAATTTTTCTATTATAATCGAGAATATATTAGGCTCATTAGTGTTTTTGTTAGGT